CTGAATATTCAGTCTGTTACCAAGTATGAGAGTGAATTATGGATGGAATCAGTGTGTGTCTGCATGCCCACATACGAACACACACGCCATAGTAAATCAATAGGCCCATTGATGTTTATCAGCGAGAGGTCAGTTCTCGTCACTGCTTATTGAATTTCATCACCCATGAAAGAGAGTAGTAGTGCTGTATAAAAGGACTTGCAGGTTTGTGTGTTCTGTGTATGCATTTGTGTGCTGTGCATTAGCGTACGCTTTCCCAAGGTCACAAAAGCAAGAGCTCTTTGTTTTATTGTAGTTGTGAGTTGGCCTTTACAGGGGCTTATTTAATGTCAAAGTCAACAGTGAGCACTACAAACTGATTTTATTGGCCTTGTTCATGTTTTTACTCCAGATAACATGAGACTTATAGGGCAAGTGAAGAAGAGGCCAATAGGGCAGCATCGGACAATTCATCAAGTTTCATGAGCACACTAAATCCTTCACGTTTTTTTTACATTTCAAGTCATTTAGGAAGCAAACAGGACACCATATTGATCATAGTTCAGTTCCTGAACATGATTAAATCCAGCTGTGCCTTCCTCCATCTTCTTCGGTAATATAGATGTACAAGCAGTGTCATTAAAGGCAGACAGCCAGGAAATGTAGTTCCTCAGGCCAACTGTATCTACAACAGGTCAGGGTTCTTGGGCTAAAACACACTGAGGGACATGAGCAGGACAATACTCTTTCATATACACTGCTCTCTCAGTGCTTTGTATGCAGACTGGGATTGAGTTGCTAATTAACTTCACTTTTTCTAACTGTATCGCACACAGGCAGACTGCCACACACACACACACACACGCATGCACACACAGAGAATCTCTCTCTTAGGCTCCTTCTCATGATGTCTGTCCCCTCGCTCACTCTCTCTTTCTCTCTCTCCCACTGTTTATTTTCCTGCCTCCATCTGGAGTCGACTGATATTGTAATCGCTCTAATGCACATTGCCTTCCCCTGACACACACACACACACACACACACACACACACATACAATGTGCTATCCTGACAAGCCCCTTTTCTTATTCCAAAAGATAAGCCATTGGATGTGATTCTGTAACTGTGTGCGTGAGTGTAAGTGCACATGCAGGTGTCTATACAGTATGCCTAATGAATACAAAGGGACACACACAAAAAGTGTGTTTTTCCCGACACTCTGCCAAAGGTAACGATATTGAATAGGCACTTCTTAGTGATGTGGAGCGGCGATAACGTGGCTGAGTGAAGATGTTACCCGTTATCGCTCACCTCCTCAATATTCACCTGTCACCCAATTTACATTTACAGATTAGACGGTGGAAAGGAGAGGAAGTCAGGGGTGATAGATGAAGTGTGTCTCTGTGTGGTTGTGTGTGTGTTTACATGTCTTTTGTGAAGGTTGGTAAAAGGAAAAGTGCGTACGTGTGTGGGGATATGTGGAAAGAGGCGACTGCTGCACTGCCATCTCGAATAGCTTTTGTTTTGTGATTCATGAAAGGTTTGGCATGCTGGAAGATGGGAGCATGCACACGCACACACACACATGG